ATGTCAGGTGCAAGATAACTTCAAAAGGCATCACAAAGATGGAATGTCGATGCCGTTAGTCCTGGCGGGAAACACCCACGCATGTATAGTCCAATCAGTCGGTGAACTCCAGAATCTTCCTCCAGCACAATGAGTAACCCCTCCCAAATACCATGCCCTCCCTCCCCGTTTCATGGCAGCTGAAGCGATAGCAAAGCAGAAGCTGACAATTTCTGTAAGAGTCTGTTGCTTGAGCAGGGGGCTGGACTAGATGACCTCCAAAAGTCCCTTCCAACTCTGTCATTCTATGATTCTGTTAGGGTTTCGTGTTTGAGCAGAGGCTTGAACCAAAAAGACCTCCAAGATTACTTCCCACTCCGTATTTCTCTAAGGGCCTCCTGCTTGAGCTGGGGGTTGGACTAGATGACCTCCAAGGGAACCTCCAACTCCGTATTTCTCTAAGGGTCTCCTGCCTTAGCAGAGAGTTGGACTGTACAACTGTACATCCCTAGGGCAGGTTTGTGGTTCACAATTTTAAGATTTTATCGGCTTTTCTAATTGTTGTAATCTACTTGGCGGCTACTGAACTAATTGGCAGCCTCTTAAAAAAAAAAAAAGGGAGATCAAATCCAGCCCTGCAGGCCATTGTATGCGGCCAAGGTTCATTCGTACACAACAGCACACTGCACAATAGATGAACAACAGATGAAACATTACCAGGCTGGCAGGCACAGGGGGGGGGTGGGATTGTCGGTCAGGGTTTCAAGTCACAGATCTGGGGGAGGGACAGCTGCACTTCCAGCTGCTCTAACCTTCCGAGGGGCTGTTGCGTTTAGTGTCGACACCTGCCAGCCCACTGCCATGAGGTCAGTAAGGAGTGATTGTGACAGTACAGGCTTTATAAAAGATGAGGGAACTGATCCTATTTGCAGACGGCATGGAATACTTAAAAAGACTTCGGTAAGGCATTCGACAAGAGTAGACCACAATGTACTTCTTGGTAAACTGGGGAAATGTGAGATAGACAGCATCACCACAGAGGGAGTTGTAACTGGNATACATACATACATATTTAAGAGATTGACAAAGCATCAACCTTTAGGGGAAAATCTAGGAAGAGATTTTTTTTCTTTCTTAAGAGTACTTCACAGATGGTTGGTTCATTTACATTTTATCCAGCCTTGTATAATAAATAAGTATAATAAATATGTTTATTATATTTATTGAGAGAGGCTCAAATCCCTCTTCGGATCCTTCAGAAGCACTTCGAAAGCCATTTCCACAATCCAAAATAACATTATTAGCCTTGCCTGCACTAATGTTTTTTCGATGTTCATAAACATTTCCACGTTTCGGTCCATCCGTGAAGGGTTTTGCAAGTCGAATCTCCTCCTGCACAGAAGAATAAAGATTTGGGGGCTATTTATCCCCATTCCGGACAAGTACAAACACAATTTTCAGGTTGATCTTGACTTACGACCACCAACGGACCACCCCATTGCTAAACGAGACCCAATGAAGTGAGCTCCGCCCCATTTTTATGACTTTTCTGGCCATATTTATTAAAGGATAAATGGCTGCAGTCATTACATTAAGAAGCCGGTTATTAAGTGAATCTGGCTTTCCCCATGAATTTACTTGTCAAAAGATCGCCAAAGGGGGTCGTGTAAGCCAGCACCTTCGCCACTTGCCCCCCACCCCCTGGGACATGGCAACCGTCATAAACATGAGTCAGTTGCCAAATGGTTGAATTTGGATCCCGTGATCATGGGGATGCTACAACAGTCATAAGTGTGAATATCGGTCATAAGCTGCATTCTGAAAATAGTCATAAATCACATCTTTTGATGTCGCTGTAACTCCAAACAGTCATTAAATGAACTGTTGTAAGTTGAGCACTACGTGTGTTATCAGTCAGGATGGCAATAAATGCAATTCTTTTCACCCCTGTAGGTAGTTCTTAACTTACGGCCAACACTGGGAGCCAGAATTTCCATCGCTAAGCAAGGCAGTGGGCTCAGTGAGCCTCGATCAATTTGATAACCCTTATTTTTGCTCCAGCTGTTAAGCAATCACGGCAGTCATTAAGTGAATCGTGAGGTTGTTAAGCGAATTGGTCTTCCCCGTGGACATTGCTCGTCGGGAGGTCACAATCAAGAGACCCCGGGAAAGCGAAACATTCGTAAATACAAGTGAATTGCCAATTGATCACGCATGCACAGTTGTAAGTATGAGGACCAGCTCCTTTTTTTCCAGCACCGTTGGAGGTTCGGTCACTAAAGGAATGGTCGTTAAGTCGAGAACTAGTTGCGGGGATAGCAAACTCACCATCCTTGCTCGTTCTTGTACTTGTAAGCGGCACCGAGGATGTAACACAACGTTCCTCCAGCTTTGAAATCCAGGAAGCACTTGGCCTGAAAGACAAAACCGCAACAAGGGAAGAGTTGCGGGTTCCCCCCCTCCGGACAAATCTGAAACACGCAACCAGTCGCACAAATCTCACACCGCACGAGGAGAAACGATCGGCCAACCGCTTGCAGATTTTGCAAGCAAATTTCAGAAGCCGCTGGGTTAAAAGAACCCTTGCAGCTTACGGGGCACTGGAGGCGCCTTCCCCCACCGCAACTTAGTTGTGTTAAGGACAAAGGCACAACAAACCGAAGTCCTGTTTTAAGGACTGGCCAGGATTCCAGAGGCGAGGCAGTTTGACTCAGGGGGAAGAGCCTGGACGGCAGGCAGATCCAAGTCCTTAAATCAAACATGTCCTTTTTCTTCTTCTTTCCTTTCTAGCTTGGTTTCTTTCTTTACTCTCTCTCCTTCCTCATTCTCCCTTTGCTCTTTCTTTCTTTCTTTCTTTCTTTTTCCCTTCTTCTATCATTTTGCTTGTTTTTAACTTCCCCTTTCCTTTTCTCCTTTCCTTTCTTTCCTTCCCTTTTTTATTTGTTTCCTTCCCTTCCTAATTTTCCTTTCTTTATTTTGTCCTTCCCTAACCTTCCTTTTCCCCCCTTTCCTTTTCTGTCCTTTCCTTTTTTCCCTTGTTTTGTCCTTTCCTATCTTTTCCTTCCCTTCCATTCTTCTTCCATTTCCTTTCCTTTCTTCCTCTCTCTTTCTCCCCATTGTCCATCCCTTTCTTTTTCTCCTTTCTTCAATCTGATTTGCAGTTCTGCAATTCTAGAACAGCCTGAAAGGGAAATTTTTCAAACGAAACTCTTATCTAAAGTTGCACAAAGAAGGGCTTGAGCCCCACTTGACAAAGACAAAACATGTTGCACAGAAAGTTTCATAAGGACTTATGAAAGCAGATTTAACACCAGAAAAGCATCCTTCGCTCCCAGCACATTTCCCAACCTGACACCCAGATGCATCAGAACCCAACTCCCAGAATTCCAAGCAAGTTCGCCACACTGATCGGCAATTGAGAGTCAGATAGGACAAGTGGCAAAGGGGCTGGCTTAGAAACTAGGAGACAGTGAGTTCTAGACCTGCCTTAGGCATGTCGTATGGGTGACTGTTGGTATCCATCCGGGTGTGTGTGTGTACAGGGTGGGTTTTGCCTGCCTGAAACACACACACACACACACACACAGAGGGATGGAGAAACATCGTACCAGGAACATCTTTCCAGCCTAACGGCCAGGACTCATTATGCAGCCTCATGATCTACGTGAGCCAGCTACTCCCACACCTGCCCCTTCTCCCCCCCTACGCCATGCAGCTTGTAACTTTCGATTCCCCGTCTCCCCTCCCTCTGCTAGGTTGTAACTTTCTATTCCCCCTTTGCCCCCCCTTTGCCATGATGTGATTTTCTATTGGTTTATTTGTAGAATGCTGTGAACTTTTCATTAGTTTACTTGTATCATGTGGTGATTATATATGCCTTCTGATATGCTTCTTTTGATGACCCTGTAACTAACTTTTCTAATAAAAGAGACCTTCGATGTTCATTCGAAGCTCGCTCATCCCGAGGATTTCTGCCTGGTGTTTTCCTTTCAATTCGGCCAAGGACACATGAGCGGGCCCTCCAGTGTGGCAACAACGCCGCAGGTGACTTTGGGCCAATCACCAGGAGCCAGTGAGTTCTAGTTCTCTTTTTAGCATAAAAACCAGCAGATGACTTTGGGCCAATCACCAGGAGACAGTGAGTTCTAGTCCCCCGCTTAGGCATGAACACAATGGCAAACCTTTGGCATCTCCCGTTCTGCCCACAAAGAGTATCACTGGAGACCCACACTGGGGAAATCCTCAATACTGACCGGAAACTTGGTAAAGGCAGGATTGGCCACGTGTTTTCCGAAGGCATCTTCCTGGAACTGCAGCAATTGGGAAACCAGCCCAGCCAGGGTTTTATTGGTCGGTGCATCGGCCTGGACATACTGTGGAACAAAGACACACACACACTTGTGGTTGTTAATTTTCCGTCTATAACCGCATCGGCTGCAACACAAGAGCACAATAGGTCTCTCTTTGTTTCAATCCTGGCTCTGCCGGTGAGGAGGAGCCGTTGCAGGTGGAAGTCAGGTAGCAAGAGAGATACAGGCTGTCCCCCGAATTACAACCACTCGTGTAGAGCAAAAGGTTTCCTACAAAAAGCAGCCAAAGGTTTCTTAAGAGTGAGGAAAATTTCTGTGGCTAAGCCAGACAGTTAAGGGAGGGTTGTCCCGTTTTACGACCCCCCCTTCCTGCAGTTGTCAAGTGTATCGCCCCAGTCATCAAGCTAGTCACATTGTTGTTAAATGAATCCGGTGTTCCCATGGGCTTTGCTCATCAGGCGGTCGCAAAAGGGGGATCACTTGATCCCGGGATACTGAAACCGTTGTAAATACGAGTCGGTTGCCAAGCACCCCAATTTTGATCACATGACCGTATGGGGGACGCTGCAAGGGTTAAGTGTGAAAAAAACGGTCATAAGAGACTTTTTTCAGTGCTGTTATAAGTTTGAACGGTCACTACACAAACTGTTGTAAGTCAAGGACTACTTTCTTAAGCTCCACCAGGGGACCCAATCAGCTAGTGTAGGGTTGTCAGGAATTCTATAGGGTCTCCTGCTCGAGTAGGGGCTTGGACTAGAAGACCTCCAAGATCCCCTGCAGCTCTGTTATGTAGACCCACAAAGTAGCTCTCCCCCCACCCCCACCCCTCTTAGCTGTTTAATACTGGGTGAATAATGAATAAATGATCTACGGCTGCAAATTCATTTCTGGGTTTTTTTTCCAGGTTTTTTTTTACCTGCCAAACTCTCTCACCCAAAGAAAGAGGAATCTCCTATTTTTCAGAACAGAACAAGGCGGTTGGAAGGGACCTTGGAGGTCATCTAGCCTTGCTCAAGCAGGAGAACCACGACCATTTCTAATAAATGGCTGCCCAGTCTTTTTTTTTTTAAAGCCTCCAGTGATGGAGCATTGACAATTATATCCAGAATAGTATATGACCTCCTACTTGAGCAAGGAGTTGGACTAGATGACCAACAAGGTCCTTTTCAATTCTGCATTTCTGTCAGATCCTCTTCATTAATTAATTAGGAAAGAAAGACCATGAGACTCCATGTGTGGAAATCAAGTGTACTTTTACTAATTAAGAATGATTGAAGGCGAAGGGTAGCGAAATCTGATTAATTAGGCGCGAAAGCAATTGATATATAGAATAGCCCATTCCCCACCCCTTGGCATCATAGTCTCAGTCCAATCATGTCTTCCAAGTGTCAGGTGTGAGATAACTTCAAAAGGCATCACGAAGATGGAATGTCGACGCCGTTAGTCCTGGCAGGAAACACCCACACATGCGTAGTCCAATCAGTCAGTGAACTCCAGAACCTTCCTCCAGCACAAAGAGTAA